TCCATGACCGCGCCCCAGCCCGTGAGGGAAGCGTCTGTCGAAACGGTTTTCCGGCGACATGGCGCTCCCAACACTGGACCTTGGGACAAGAACCAAGCTTTCTTCCACATAACCAGAGAACGAAGGCATCTGCGCGTAACTCTGATTGTGCGGAACGGGTTTCCCCTCGGGGAGAACCCCTTGGTTTTTAACCACCACTGGAGGGCCCTCATGTGCAGCAGGCCAAATGGAATGATGTTGGACGCTGCTGCCATGAGTCCCAGCACTCTCTGGAAATGCTTGACAGTGACGGCTTGGCCTAGCTTTATCCCAGCCACTGTGGCCAGAATGGACTCGACTCGCGCAGGCGACAATCGTGCCCGCATTACGACCGAATCCCATACCACTCCCAGGAACGTAGTCCTTTGGGCTGGTATCAACACGCTCTTCTTCGTGTTTAGTCTCAACCCCAGTTTCTGGATGTGGGCAAGAACAACATCTCGATGCTGAACCGCCAGCTCTTGAGACTGGGCCAAAATCAGCCAGTCGTCTATATAGTTGAGCACCCTGATGCCCTGGAGCCTCAGAGGTGCTAGAGCTACATCCATACATTTGGTGAATGTGCGGGGAGAGAGAGCTAGGCCGAATGGAAGAACCCGATATTGGTACGCTTCGCCCCCGAAAGCGAACCTCAGGAACTTCCTGTGGGATGGAAGGATGGATATATGAAAGTATGCGTCCTTCAGATCTATCGTGACGAACCAATCCTCGGATTGGATCTGACTCACGATCATGGGAATAGTGAGCATCTTGAACCTGAATCTCCTCAGAGAGCGGTTCAGATATCTGAGATCTATGATCGGACGCAACCCCCCATCTTTTTTGGGAACTATAAAGTAGCGGCTGTAAAACCCGGACTCCCTGTCTAGTGGAGGAATATGCTCTATGGCCCCCTTTGCCAGCAGGGAGTTTACTTCCTGTTCCAATACCCGACCCTGCGTCGGGTTGACTACAGTCCAGACCACCCCGTTGAATCTGGGTGGGTGGAACCCGAACTGCAGCCTGTACCCGTATTGTATCGTGCGCAGCGCCCACGGGGAAATATTCGCTAGATTTTTCCATGCATCGAAATATTTCGCCAAGGGAACCAGGCTCTCGAGCCTGGTTTCGGGTATTAATCGGGATTCGTTCTCGACCGCCTGAAACGAATCTCCGGCAGGACTGGACCGAAAACGATTCTCGATGGGCGAACGCAATCGCTGCCCGTCCGCAGGCTCGTGGGGCGGACAAAGCAGCTTGCGATCGCTGGAAACCGATGCGTCCCGAAACGTACTTGACGGCGGGAGAACAACATCGATTTCCTGCGGGCTCCGCGAGGGAGACGACCTCAGTCGCTCCATCACGGGTGGGGCCGCCCGCAGAGATCCTAGCACTGCTAGGACCTCTTAGATGTTTTCTTAGCCTGCAGGACGGCCCTCAGGTCGCCCTGCTTGGCTTGCGGCTTAGATTGAGAGCGCCGTCTATGCCCCCAAGCTCCTTGAGGGGGGGCTCTAGACGCGACGCTCTCTCTCTGAACCTGCCTGTAGGTGGAGGAGCTGGTACCTGGCTGAGGCTGCGACTGCCCACTGGGGGCAGACTTCCCGGATACTGAGCGACGAGGGAGAAATTGTTTGAAGGCCGCTGATTGATTTTTCGCCTCCTGAAACCTGTCGACAACGGTATTAACAGTGTCGCCGAACAGGCCAGAAGGCGAAATCGGGGCATCAAGGAGGAAAGCCCTGTCTTTCTCCCTGATGCCCGTCAGATTTAACCATAAATGTCTCTCCGAGACCACCATTGCCGCCATGGAGCGACCGACAGCGCGGGCCGTCTCTTTGGTGACTCGGAGAGACAAATCAGCGACCTTCCTCAACTCCGCCACATCCTCCGGAGTTGGTCCCTCGCCCTCATCAATATCCTTAAGAAGGTCGGCCTGGTACGCTTGGAGAAGCGCCATGGTGTGAAGACTCGCACCAGCCCGACCCGCAGCCATATATGCCCTGCCCACCAGTGAAGATGTTTCTCTGCATGGCTTGGTGGGCAGCACCGGGGCTTTAAAGGATGATGCCGACTCAGGTGATAAATAATTAGCCAAAGGCTGTTCAACCCGCGGCATCATCCCATAACCATTCTCTCGTGCCCCCATGATATTACTATATTTAATATAGTGGGATTGGAAACACGAGAAGAATGGGGTTTCTTCCACGATTTACACACCTCAGTATGCAAATCGGGAAAAAACGGTAAGCCCCGATGATGAGGTTGTTCCCTGTGCTGCAGGAAGCGCTCATCTAATTTGCTTTTAACTTGCACTTCCTGCTTTTCTTGTGGCCAATCGATCTTTAAATGAGCCACTGCACGGGAAACAACCTCTACCAGCTCCTCATATGCGGGGACACGGGGTGGCGAGTCATCCCCGAAGTCCCCGCCCCCTTCGATGCTGAGCACGTCCACCTCCTCGGAAGCAGACAGCTCAAGCATCGGATCCTCGACTCGCGCAGAAGAAGCCGCCGAGCGGGCTTCTGCGCGAGGCTCGAGGGCATCGGAACTGTCCGATGAATCCCGAGAAGGTGCCTCAGCAGCCTCGGGATCCCCAGACAGATCCATTTGCGAGCCCCATGAAGAGCGTCGCCGCGCCGCCTCGGCGGACGCGGGTCCCGCACCACGGGGCTCACGAGGCTGACCCTCTTCATTGAAAAGGGCCAGCCGGGAACGCAGCACGCGGAGCGGTAAAGCCTCACAATGCTCGCAAGCAGCTCCCTCGAGAGCTGCCTGCGCGTGCTGCATTCCCAGACAATGTGTACACAGTTGGTGTGTGTCCCCGCCCGTGATGTAGCGAGGGCAAGGGTGCACACACCGCCTGAAATTCACACTCGCCATTATTTAGATTTTAGGGAGATATGCTTAGACAGACAAACAATAAATAAGACTGACAGTCACAGAGAGCGCTTAGCTGAAGAACAGAAAGCTGACATGTTGTGTGTGCCGGTTCCTTATATATGCTTCCGCCTATGTGTCGTCACACATCACGTCGTCACGTTGATCCAATCGGAGATTGGCTTAGTTTCATTCATGCTTCAGAGGCGCTACGCTGAGGGGCGTTCCCCCAAAGTGTCACTTGGACGCAGTTTGAGTTCCCTCGATAGGGAACATGGTAATTACCTGTGTAGCAATAGGTTGTGAGAACAAGCAAAGAACATACACGAATGTAATGTTTCACAGAATTCCATCGAATGTGGAACTGAGAAATAAATGGCTAGCTGCTCTGGATATCTGACCTGTACATCAACGCCTCTCTACAAAATAAAACAGTTTTGTGTTTGCGAAGAGCATTTTGCACCAGAGAACTAATGTTACTTTGAAAAAATGGAATATGGGCCCAGAAAGATGGTACTAAGTCTGAAAGATACAGCCGTCCCATCTATTTTCAAAGCACAGGCAGGAAAAAGTGCAAATGTAAGTTGTCTTTTATTGCTCTCTTCCTTATGTTTATCTGTGTATTTATTCTGTTGTAAGATCAATGCTGAGAAGCTGTATCTAGACTACGATTCTCATGTTGAATTCCACCTGTTTAGCATGAACAACCTGTTATCGTTACCTATATCCATTTGGACTATTCGGCGTGGGGCGTTATTTCCAGTTCACCTTATCACACCGGGGGAAAAAAAAAAAAAAAAAAAGAGTAGGCTTACTGCAGGATGGATCAGCGCCATGAAATCCTATGTAGCTGTGGGACAACTGCGGGCACACTTAGCTTGATCTAACGCATCATCCTCACGTCCTCAGGCTGTTGAGCGATCGCAACATTGTCCTTCTGTCGGTCTATTTCTAAAGCATGCAGCTCCTCTTCTGAAAATTCTCAGCCCATTCTCACTCCCAAGGCGTCACCTAACTGACACCTTGGGAAGCATTTGACAATGCTTTAATATCTGACGCTTTAGGCGCCCTTTAGCGTCAGTTAGATGACGCCCTAGGATCGCGTGTACCCTACCCCCACCTCATACCTAAACCTAACCGCGTCCTCTAACTGACGCTTTCCTTTAGCGTCAGTTAGATGATGCCGTAGGATCGCGTCATGTAAGTGACGCTAAAGGGCGCCTAAAACGTCAAATATTGAAGCATGGTCAAAGGTGACGCCTTGGGGTGAGAATGTGTTATAACTCTGGTTCAAATAGGTATGGCTCTGGCTCTTGACTGTCTGCCAATCAGCCATGTTCATTGCCAGTCATGTACTATAAGAAAAATAGTCAGGTAGCTACTACTCAAGCCGGTATGTTTACGGAAGTCGTGGGATTTCATGTGTAGCGTGATATCTCTGCGCCCAAGTAGCAGTGCTTCGCCTGTGCTTCCCCTAATATAGTCCCAAGTCAATATCTGCCTAGGAAATCACCTAGTGTTAATCTGCATTGCTATTTGTACTCATTGTGAATGTGCAGGCCACAAGAATTAATTACGTGGGTTTGTTTATTTTTTTTAATAACTTTTACTCAGGACATGCTTGCTGGCAACAAAGGATTCCATTCATTGTGCAAAGCTAAGCTAGCGCCGACCCTGTCAAACTAAAACAATGCATGCACTGAGACAAAAATGCATTTGCACACATATCTAAATGTAGGAAAGAATGTGACTAAGCCCTATTTCAAAAAAACTGTGGAGTGTTCCTTTAACGTCAGTTAGATGACGCTATCTAATCCTAACCCTACCCCAGACCTAAACCTACCCGGATCATCTAACTGACACTAAAGGTAAAGTGTCAGTTACGACACCCTAGGATCGTCATCTGACGTTAAAGGGTAAAACGTTGGATGTTGGCGTGTGGTCAAAAGCGTCAGTTAGATGACGTCTTGGGATGAGAATGTGTTGTTCCTCCAGTGCGAAATCCCCTGTAGTAAAGTAAGTGCATCCCTAAGATCACTGGTTAGTAGCCTATAAGAAATGGGAGGTATACGGTCAGTGTCATCAACCAACCACAAAATGTCCCGCCTTGATGGGAAGAAAAACATTACACTTAAATATCTTTGATTCAGACAAATGTTTTTAGAAAGAAGTATATTGTGAGGTAAATCATTCTTTTGGTATATCAGAGTTAGATCAGATGCTTTTCCAGTGTATTAAAAAACTAGTCAATATTTTTTTGGATAATAATGTGCTAATTCCTGTCATTTCCTGTATTTAAAAAAAAAGATAAAATACAATTAATTTAATATTTTAACTTGTTCTTTTGAGCCTCTATGTGTGTGTGTGTGTGTGTTTACCTTAATCTATTTTTTTTTTTCATCCAGCCATCAGGTCGTCATGTCAGCCGGAAACATCAGTTTTGTTAAGGAATTTATCATTGTTGGTTTTCCTGGGCTTCAAACAGAATACTATGGCACAGTAGCTGCTCTGCTATTTTTTGTCTATGTGTTTATATTAGTGGGAAATGGGATATTTCTAATAATTTTTGCTTTAGAAAAATGCCTGCATAAACCTATGTATTATGTCATCGTAAACCTGGTTGTAAGTGATATATTATTCAGCACTACTACCTTACCAAAAATTATTACTAGGTATTGGTTCCAAGCTGGTAGTATTTCATTTGGTGGTTGCTTCATTCAAATGTATTTTGTGCATTATTTTGGTTCAATCAATGCTTTTATCCTGGCAATAATGGCCTTTGATCGGTATGTAGCCATCTGTAATCCTCTAAGATATCCTAATATACTCACAAAATCAAACATTTTTTATCTTTGTCTCATTGTATGGGTGATAGGACATGCATGTCCTTTAATGATGGCAATAAGGGCATACCCTCTGCCTTACTGTGCAGAAAACACCATTATGCACTGTTACTGTGATCACATTTCTATCACATCTCTTGCGTGCACTAACAGGGCATTGTACAGTGTTCCAGCCTTTGTATTTGCTATGGTTGTGTTGCTCTGTCCTCTGACCTTCATTGTTTTCTCTTATTGCGCCATCATTGTGGTAGTTCTGCGTGTATCAAGAGCTCAAGGAAGAATGAAGACTTTCTCCACCTGCAGTCCTCAGCTCATCATAATAGCTCTCTATTTTCTACCCAGGTGTTTTATTTATTTGGCTAGCAATATTGGTATCAACTTCAGCACTGATTTACGATTAGTCATTGTTATGATGTATAGTCTGTTTCCACCAATGATCAACCCCCTAATATACTGTTTAAGGACGAAAGATTTCAAGGAAAGCTTACTTAAAAGGCTACAATTTTCAAAAAATCCTCAAATTAATCCAACAAAAGGTAATGTATCCACTGTGTGTACTTAAATTATTAGAGCAGTCATACATTAGAAAAAACCTACAAAAACAAAATAGTATTCTTTGAATGTCATGAACTAGAACAACCGTTAGAACACAGGGTTTATCCACAAAAATATCATAGGGAATATATCTTTTGTTTTTTGCTTATATTCCAGCTCTCACATGTTATTGCTCTGCTTTTTGAAGCCAGGAAATGCAACTGCTATATCTTTTACTGTAAAGATGAACTTGAAACTATATTTTGAAGCAAAAGCAAAGATTTGTGTTTGTACATGACTTAATCTAACATCATGTGTTATTTATTTTCTTAAATAAAGTTTACTTACAAATTCATTGCATTACACTAAAAAAGTCAATACATTATTTTTGTACATTGTGTGGTCATTCAAAATTATGACAGGAATTGAATAACGGCCCTTATGGAACATTTAACAACTACAATACATTACTAAGTGTTCCCATTTCGAATAGATAATGCAACTGATTGTAAAAATTGTATTACCGTAGAAATGTAGTAAATTGGTGTCTTGTTCAATTTTGTATTAAGTTACCTTACTGTTAGTTTAACAGTTTCGAAAAGAGTATGTAAATGTTCAAATTGGCCTGGATGTATATGGAGTTTTAGTGGTGAAAGATATGGTCATTGAATGCATAGTGTTAGCCAAAACAATGATAAGTGATCCACAGTTTAGTTCACAAAGACTGATGTTGCACTCACTGTGTGAAGAGTTTTGAAATGTGTCCTAGGCTAGCAATTGTAAAAAACAACAACAAAAAAAACAAAAAAAAAACATAATGGTTGAAAAAGGCGAAATTTGTCTGATCCTAGTGGAACACTAAAAAAATAATATGTTGGCTTTAATTATTTTTATTTCATCAACAGATGTTTAATTTATTTAACTGTCATTTTAACTGATGATAATAATAACCGTAATTTAAGAATGCAGTTTATATATTTAATAATTGTTTAATACCATAAACCGTGATATTTTCTGAGATGTTTCTCAACTCTCCCCACATGGGGGAGTCCCCCACCCCACCCCCACAAGTTACTCAGCAACTTTTACTCACATTTTAAATTAACTACTTTTTACTTGAGTGGATTTTTAGACTGGTATTTTTACTTTAACTTAGGTAAAAATTTTTCAAAGTAATAGTAGCCTACTTTAGGTTGAATAACAGTAAGTTTACTATATTATAACAGTAAGTTACTCTAAAATAGTTATGAATTATTAACTGACATTTTCAACGGTGTAGTTAGATTAATGTAATAATCAGGCTACTATCTCTAGAAAGTATTGGTCTACATATTACTAATTGCTAAATCTCAACCTCAACCACTTGATTAATACAAAGAGGAGAGACAAGAAACTGCACTTTTAATTCTTTCAAATTCACAATATACAATTGCATGAATTATTCTTGAATTGATCAAAGTGTGTAGAGGGAGAAGGTTACATAAAAAATATACCTTTTAAAAATGTATGTTAAATCCACTATTGTTTTATACTTAATTGGTTTATGTAGTAGCCTATTTAATGTAATTGCATCATATTTTATTTTAAATTACAGAAGAATTAAGAGTAATCCCTTTAATTAAATTACAATATTTAGATTACTTGGTAATTAATAAACACCTCTTTTTGTCTGGCGATGTTGCCATGGTGACTCATAATATCTGTGCTCCATTGATAATGGCTTTTTATAGTTGTGGTGCAAGCGCTTAACTCAGAGTCGGTCAACTCAGAGTTGATTGAACTAACTCATTTCAGCTGTTCTGTAACCGAAAACTCAGAGTTTCCCATCTCAGGGTAAGTCAACTCTGAGTTCAAGCTTTAACTCAGAGTTGGTTGAACCTCCTTATTAAAACGGGCCCCTGGTCCACTCTCGTTTATGTATAGTGTGATATTGTGGTTCCTGAGTTTTGTTTATTAAAGATCCTGTTTCCTGTTATTCCTCGTCTCCTCGTGCTTCCAGTACCATGCTGCCTTAACACTAGCAAAGGACTCACTTCCTAAAATAAAGGCAACTATGTATTTTAAAACTCATTTATACCATTTGAGGGGGAAAGTGATATTATATATTATATTAATATATAATATAGCAGTCAACTTATATTATACATACAATATGAATGAAATCATTTGCATTTTATGTTGTCATTGTACTATTTGTATAGAGCGTTTCACAATAAATATTTTTCCAAAGCAACTTTTGCAGTCCACTAGTGGTGAACCAGGAACCGCAGTTTGAAAAAAAAAAAAAAATACGCATTTAGAGCAGACAAGAAATGTAAGCATTGCACATTATGCAGGTGGTTGTACATTATAATTGTTATGTATTATAGAGGTATATTTGAATAGACCTCCCCGAAAAGATCTCAACCATTTCCACTACTTACTGTTAAGGCTAACACATAGGACAAGTTGTACTGCAGTTGCTGTTATGTAGATTTAAATATACCCTTGCATTACAGTAATATAATGTGCACTATTGAGAACTTCACAAAGGGGAATTGTGTAGCCAGTGAAGAAAATGTTTATCAAAACTAAAGCAGTGGCCAGAACATGTATACAAGTTACATCATTTTGTTGTCTGAAAGCTCTCAAGAGATGAATCAATAGATATATTTGGATTCAATGACGCACATGTCCAATGATGTTTGCCACATGAGAGAATAAGGATGGGCATTTAAAACAGACTATTTAATTCAGCTTGCAATCATTCAGACACTGTCATTGTTTCCTCTGGTTCTTTAGATGAATTAGTCAAGTCTGTGATTCAAATATTATGCAGCAAGTTTGCATAAAGGTATATTTTCAACATTTGAAAATAGATGTTAAATGTATGAGATGACAATTTAGTGAAGTCCATATTTGGTTTATTCTTTATAGTAATTTCTATTTGGTTTATTCTTTATAGTAATTTCTATTTTGCAAAACAACAAATGCAAAGCTGCCATGAGTTTATCTCAGAATATCTCGATTGTTCATCCTGAATACTTTTTCATCACTGGGCTTACAGGTACACCGTACGACACGTATTACTATATATTCTTATTTATCATATATTTTATTACTATAATTGGGAACTCGATAGTCCTTCTCATTATAGCTTTTGAACGGAGCCTGCATTGTCCAATGTACATCGGTGTGTTTAACTTAGCCTTGGCTGATATTGGTGAAACTAATGCACTGATTCCTTGCATGATGAAGATCTTTTTTTTTGACTCACAGTACATTTCATACAATGCTTGTTTGGCAAACATGTTTTTTGTGAATTTCTTTATTACTGTGCAGACTTACACTCTTGTTGTTCTGGCATTTGATCGTTTCATTGCAATTTGTTTTCCACTAAGATATCATGCCATAGTGAATAATAAGTTAATGTCTATAGTGTTTTCAGTGATATGGGCATTTAACACCTGTATTGTAACACTGTCAACATCTTTGATGACCAGACTTTCATTCTGTAATTCCAACGTAGTAGAGAGTTGGTATTGTGACTATGGAACAATGGTGAGGCTGCCATGCAATGACAATAGAATTAATAGATTATTAGCAATTCTCATTCAAGCTTTATTCATTATAGCACCACCTTTCATTATTATCCTGTCATATTTGGGCATTTTTCTTGCTTTATGTAAAATAACAACTTGGGAAGGACGTTTAAAAGCACTGAAGACCTGTGTTTCTCACCTTTTGGTAGTTGGATCATTCTTTCTTCCCATAATATGCATTTTGATTGCTGCACCTACAACTAATGCCAGGATCATCAGCGGATCTCTTTCATTTGCTCTTCCACCAATGCTCAATCCCATTATTTATGTTTTAAACACAGCTAAAATCAAAGAATTAATCCGAAAAATGCTTAGCAACAGATCTGCACCAATTAGAGGGAATGTTTCAAAATGACTGCAATTATTTTCTCTTTGTTCATCAATCATTGTGAATTAAATTGGAATGTGGAAAACAAATTCAGTCTGCAAGACTCTTAGCATGTATATTGGAAACATTAGGCATCTGTGTTGGTTAACAGCAGTGAAATGTTGTTTATTTTATGATTTAATCCATCTGATTTCAAATGTGTGTGCTGTGTTTGTTCTTAGTTACTGACCCCAAGAAAAAACTAATTGAAAAGGCAAATATTTTAGCGAGAATTAGAATTGTTTTATTGCTAATGTATTATTTTTGTCAGGAATAACAGGGATCCCAAAGAGGATGTTTGATAAAGATGATGTTTTAACAACAGTAATGAATAAAATGAACAACTGCAAAAACACGACAGAGATAAAAGGTAGTAAAAACAGAAGAGGCAGGTGTGTACCGCAGTTTCAATATTCTGTATATACTGTAAGATAATAGAGATTAGACAATGCCGGGCCATCTGGTTGAGGAATGACTATTCACAGAGAAGACAAAGGAGGTTTCTGGAAATTAACTTTGGAACTCTCTCTTGTGAAACTAGCACCCCCATCTAAGACACAATCACACTGAGTCAATCACCTCAATATTGTATTAATTTAGATTTCTTTCTTAGATATCGTCCCTTCTCTCTCTCATGATCACCTGAAATTAACCCAAAATATATGGTTTAATGTGAATAATTATCATACAGCACTATACATGTTTGGTACAATTTGAATTGTCTCACTGTGACTGGTACAATGGTTGTCTCCACAGAAATAAAAACAACAAAAACAACAACAACAACAAAAAACATGAAATAACGTTCTTTTCTTTTTTTCTTTCTTTTTTTAAGAGTTTAGAGATATCTTGCTATAGAGGAGGCTGGGTCTTTCATGAAAATGTCCTCAAAAGGTGTAAACTCTGGAGACTGTGATTAATGCAAATTCCCATTGTTAACACGTTTAGGTTTCTGTCTTGGCTTGAGTACATAAAGAAATGTTTTAAGAGGCTCAGCACGATTTGGTAGCCAGATCAACCACTCAGACTATTCTGAATGTCCTCAGACGCTTAGCATTATGTATTTTTTTCTAATGCCTAGTATGCATCTTTTACTCTGTATCTCTGAGCATTTAATGTTTTTGTATTGATTATCTTTGAATTGATTATAAAATTGGCAAGATACATTTACCTGACATAATAAATTGTTACATTTGATTTTATTCTGATTTACTTTGAAATTATTTTCCCAAATATATTAAGGCAGTAACAGACAAGTGTCCAGTTTTAAGTTGAGCATAGGGCACAACAAGTAATATTTGGCACTAATTCAAGTGTACTTGGACAAAAAATGTCGCGGAAAACATAGTGAGTCTTTCTCTGTTTTAATATAATGTTACCCTAGGTGAGTGTATGCGGAAATCCATGGCATGACCAAACCAAGTTTTGGTAACAGGTTAACCATACCAGGCGAAAATTCCAGAAACGAGGGTGCAACCGAAAGAGCCTGTAAATCTTCGATTCCCTTGACTGAGGAGATAGCAAGAAGGAAAATGCATTTCAGAGTGAGAAACTTCTCAGGAGCTTTTTCAATAGGTCCAAAAGGAGCTAGGGAAAGACCTTCTAATACGACGACCCGATCCCAGGTCAGCACCCTCGTACAAACTGCTGGCATCAGCCTCAAAGTGCCACGAAGGAAACGAGTTATAAGCGGGTGTCTCCCAAGAGAAACTCCACTGAAAGGGATGTGGTAAGCAGCTAGTGCCGCCACATTCACCTTTAACCCCCTGACCGCAAACCCCCTAATGATTTATATAAGAGACCAACGACGTGTTGTCTGACTGAACTAACACATGATGACCTCTCAGTTCTGCTAGGAAGTGTTTCAAAGCCTGAAAAACCACCAAAATCTCTAGACAATTTATATGCCATGATAGATGATGGTCCTGCCACAGACATTGGGCTGGACCACCACTCATGACCCACCACCCCTCCCCCAACCACTTAGCATTACGTGATGACAAACAGCCCCCAGCACAGGACCTTTGGACAGGAACCAAGGCAGCGCTGCGTGACTTTGATCGTGTGGAGTGGATTTCCCCTTGGAGAGAATTCATTGGTCCTGACCCACCACCGCAGCAATCTCATGTAGAACATGCCAAGGTATAACGTTGGACGCTGCAGCCATCAAACCCAACAGTTTCTGAAACTGTGAGTAGCTTACAGTGAGCAGCTGGCCTAGCTTCACTTGTTTCAAGGCTGAAGAATCGAAACGATGCGGGATATCGAATCCCAAACAACACCCAGAAAAGTGGTCTCCTGAGAATGAGATAAAATGTCTCGGTTACCGATGTAACCCTCGTTCCCTGAGTAGGGAACGGAGACGTTACGTCAGGAGTGACGGAGAATGGGGGTTTCGCATAGAAAGCCAATCCTCTTCGAGTATTTAATAACGAGCCAATGGCATGAAAATGCCTTGGGGCTGCGGAATTTGCATAGCGTAACTCCGCCCCACCCCGTGGGTATAAAAGGAGGAAGTGAACGCAACCGCAGTATGTCTTCGCTGAGGAGCCAAGACTGAACTCGGCGTCTACCCAGCGGTACAGCAGAAGTGGCAAGGAGACGTAATGTCTCCGTTCCCTACTCAGGGAACGAGGGTTACATCCGTAATCGAGACGTTCCCTTTCGTAGTCACTCCGAGTTACGTCAGGAGTGACGGAGAATGGGGGTCTATGCCATCACGCCATCTTCATAGCTGTCTTCCAGTGCCCTGCGAAAGTCTGGACTCCTGAACTTACCTTATAACCAGGAGATCCTACTTTAACACAGGAATACCAAGGTACACTGGGAAGCATATCCCGGGAGGGACATGCAACCAAATGCCTACCGTAGGGTGGACTTAAGAATACACATATGGCCGAGTTAGGGACTACATATGGAGATCACTGAAGCACCAACCTAAGGGTGGCTAGAAACTTAGCTCCAGGTGTGGCAGATGGCTTGCCAAGGGAAGACACATGCTCAGAGAGGCTTACAGTGGATAATACACATGTGACAGTTACCGGAGGGAACCGTGCACATGGCGGCACCTAGCCGGCACCAGAGCAAGCGCAGTGGTGCCCGCATCATGAGTGCTGGAGGACTCAGGGCTTCAACGGAAGACTCAACTGAGGAATATCGCACTTATCCAGTCCGAGGAGTGGAATGGCGAGCAAGCGAAGACACCTAAGCGGGTCCAGTACTGGCAGGAGCGAGTACGCGAGAGGACACCGGCTCTATTCGCAGATTATAGAATCTTGTCCACGAGACAGCCGTTGCTTTGTGAGAGCCCTTCCCTTTCTGGCTCCCCCCATAACAGACAAAGAGCTGGTCTGAGGTCCTGAAACACCGCATTCTGTCAACGTAGGCGCGGAGCGCACGTACCGGACAGAGCAGTGCCAAGGCTGGGTCTGCCTCCTCCAGGGGCAGCATTTGCAGGTTCACCACCTGGTCCCTGAAGGGAGTGGTAGGAACCTTGGGCACATGTCCAGGCCGGGGTCTCAAGAACACGTGAGAGTAACTCGGCCTGAACTCCAGGCACACTTCGTCAACGGAGAATGCGTGCAGGTCCCTTACCCTCTTGACGGAGGCCAATGCAACCAGGAGTGCTGTCTACATATGACAGGACTTAAACTCTACCGATTGCAAAGGCTCCAGGGGAGGCCTCTGCAGAGCACTTAGATCTACTGAGAGGTCCCAAGAGGGCACGAGGGGATGGCGAGGCGGATTTAGCCTCCTCGCTCCCCTCAGGAACCTGATGACCAGGTCATGCTTCCCCATAGACTTACCTTTCACTGCATCATGAGACGCGGCAATGGCCGCGACGTAAACCTTAAGGGTGGAGGGCGACAGCCTACGCTCCAACCCCTCTTGCAGGAAGGAAAGCACGACACCGATCGAACATCTCCGGGGGTCTTCTCAGCGGGAAGAGCACCAGTTGACGAAGAGGTTCCACTTCGACGCCTAGAGGTGTCTCGTGGACGACGCTCTAGCGGAAGTGATGGTTGCTGCCACCGCAGGTGGAAGCGAACTCAAACCTGCCTCATCCCATCCAGGAGCCACAGGTGTAGGCTCCAGAGCTCGGGACGAGGGTGCCACAGGATGCCCCGTCTCTGAGAGTATCCTCAGAGGAAAGGCCAAGGAGGTGCTGTCGCGAGGAGCATCAGTTCGGAGAACCACGTCTTGGTGGGCCAGTAAGGGGCTACCAACAAGACCTGCTACTCGTCCTCCTTGATCTTGCACAACACCCGTGCAAGAAGGCTCATTGGGGAAAACGCATACTTGCAGGGGCCCCGCGGCCAGCTCTGCGCCAGTGCGTCTGTCCCGAGCGTGCCCTCGGACAGGGAATAAACTGGGCGCAGTGGGATGAGTCCCGAGAGGCGAACAGGTCTATCTGTGCCTCCCCGAACTGGTCCCAAATCAGCTGGACTGTCTGGGGATGGAGTCGCCATTTGCCGGAGATAGGGCGGACCCGTGACAGCTCGTCGGCCGCCAGGTTCCGGTCTCCTGGAATGTACACTGCAAGAAGGGACCTCAGGTGCTTCTGACTCCATAACAGGAGGTGGCGAGCGAGCTGCGACAACCGACGTGAGCGTAGACCACCCTGGTGGTTGATATACGCTACCGTAGCGGTATTGTCTGAACGGACAAGTATGTGTTGACCCCTGAGCAGTGCTCGAAAGCGGTGCAGGGCCAGGCGTACTGCCAACAGCTCGAGGCAATTGATGTGCATGAGGCGCTGGGGTCCTGTCCAGGAACCCGCGGCTGCATGCCCATTGCACATGGCACCCCGACCCGTGGTAGAGCATCCGTGGAGACACCTACATGCCTGGAAACTCACAGCAGAGGGACTCCGGCCCGTAAAAAGCTGAGGTTCGACCACGGGAAGAAGGTCTGGCGGCACGCTGGAGTCACTGGAACTCGGAGCTGACGCGATTCACTGGAACTCGGAGCTGATCGCTCTGATGACCTGGCGGGATAGGCCGGGGAGCTCTAACCAAGCTCCTAGGAGCTGATCCAGCGAGGTCATGTGAACCACAGACGTCCCCCCGGAGGGGCAGCGAGGCGGGGAGACCAGCATGCCCACGGGAATTACTCCGTGCGGATGCACAGTCGAGCCCCGTTCCCCGACAGAAGGGACCAGGGAAGGACCAGCGTTCCACGGGGGTCTGTTCTGCCGGGGGTCTGGCGATAGAGGGGGAAGGGAGTGGTGTAGTCGAGGGAAGACACATGCTCCCTTCCGCACCCTCAGAGACAGAGAGGAATGAGCGGGGCGACGCACTGGACGTCGAGCACGCTCATTCCCGTAAGTGTGCTCAGTGATAGTGTCAAGTCTTTCTCAACCAACTCAGGGCGCTGCCCACTCGTGGGTGAGCAGCGGGGAGCTGAGAACGAAAGATTCTGAAAGGGCCGGGGGAAAGAGGGGCCCTGCTACCACCTCCTGTGAAAAACCGTGACAATATCACTGAGCAGCCCGCCTCAGGAACGCCGCTTCGCCTGGCGTTAGCGGGGCACGCGGCCTGAGGGGGCTGTGACGCTCACCTGCGGCCTCCTATGCGACGCGAACCGGCTGAAGGCTGCTGCTGGGGCCGCGTGGGAGGGAAGGGAGCCGCAGGGGGGCGTCCTCGGTGGCAAGCAGGCGGAGGCGTCTGAACCGACGGCTGGGTGGAGGCAGCAGCTGGCCATCGGGGCAGAAGTGTATAACCGCCTCCGTCTGCTCCTGGGCGGTCGGAAACTGCTGTGCGAAGTCCTGGACTGCACCGCCGAAAAGGACAACCTGGGAGAGGGGGGCATCGAGCAGACGAATCCATTCGGCACCCCGCGCTTTTTTGCCAGGTTGAGTCATAGATGACGCTCCTGGACCACAGTGGTGGCCATCACCTGACCAAGGGAGCGAGTGGCCACTTCCGTCGCCCGTTTGAGAGCGAGGTCGGCGGCAGCTCGCAGCTCGCTTGGTCCGTCCCCCCCTCGTGCATATTCCTGAGCAGCTTAGCAGGTGCTCATCACATGCAGGGCGGAGGCTGCCTGTCCCGCCGCTCTATAGGATCACGCTGCCATAGACGACGAGAACCTACAGGCTTTGGGTGGGCGCCTGGGGAGCACCGCGGGAGGATGCGCTCTGCGGACACAGTAGCATCATAACAGAGCGCTCCAATGGGGGAGTCCCAGCGTACCCACGGGCAACCGGCCGCCGAGGGGAGAAAAGGCGGGGAAACTGAGGCACGCTCTCAGGAGGACGAAGGGGCCCTCCAAGTGCATGTCAGTTGCAACTCGGGGAAAAAGGAAATTGGGGTTGGCTGTGGCCGTGAGGCGTCAGCCTTACCTAAAAAC